ATCGAAATGATTGATGGGAACGAGGGAAATCCTACCAAGCCGAACCGAACTGCTCCGCAACTCCTACAGGTTTTACATTCAATAACTTCTACTCTGTATTAAATGAACATGGAGGGAACCGAATCTTCGCGGAATAGCTCGGGAAAGAAGATAAGCAAGTAGGTGTGACATACTTGATTAAACCAGCGATGTATATAGACACAACTTCGCTGTTATGGGGTAGCACTTCAAACAACAAGTCCGCCAATCCTGCCTGGAAAAAATAATGAGAAAGTGCACAGTTAAATAAAAAGTAAACAAGTATACTTACAGGTGTCCATTTGTTTGGTTCGTTTTCGCCAAAAGCGCGCATACCATGCCATTCTTCCCACTCAGAAAACGGCACATTTTTGCCATTGTAGTATGCGACTAACTTGAACAGCTCCATCTAGGTGAACAACTTTCAGAAAGGAACCGTCGGACATAGGCCACAAATTTCGGCGCTGTTCTGCTTAAGGGGGAATGGGAGGGGCACTTGCGCCTTTTTTGGTCTGCCTTTCTTTTGATGAAACCTGTAAACTCGTGTGAAGCTGCGAAGTGGTACAAGTGCCACTTTAATGACAGGAATTTACAGATCTCTCAAGCTGGCCTGTACAGGCTTCGCGTAGCCTTTGTTGCCCCTCCAAGCCCAACTGTGCCTCAGTTCTTTGGAAAACTTGTGTAGCGTGCATGAGATAAGCGTCTTTTTGGAAGATTAGCAAGCGAAAAACTGACAAACCTGCAACCACTGGAAAGTATGAACTCGAGTCAACACACACTATGTCCCAGAGTGGGCGTGGCTGTGTGCCCCAAGGAAATAGGGCGAAGACTACCCCTCTGGTAAGATTATTCGGCATGGCACTACTCCAGCCATGTTTTTCGCCAGCACAAGACTGGATGGCAGCTGTCCCAAATGGAAACATTCGAGTGAAACGCATCCTACGCTATGTTCAATGAAGTACGCAGCCACGCCCCTTCTATCTCCGGGACATGAAGTAAAGTTCTGGTCCGAAGACCGTCCAGTACGTAGGAAGGCCCATCCTGCTCCATTGAAAAAGCAGCTACCTGAGTTTCTTGTGAGACCTCGATATTATCCGCTCTTATCCTCTCGTACAGCCTCACAGCATCTTCAACTTCTCGTT